CAAGTGTCAAAAGCCGGGGTAAAGAGGTTTGCCTTCAGCATTCACTGGGAGATGTATAGTGAATGCACTAAATATACCTCTGTGGGAGGGAGTTCCACAACGTGGGAGCTGCCACAGGGAATGCCGTCTCCCAGGCCACCCCACTTCAAGCCTATGAGGGTGGAGGAACTACGAAGAGGGCCCCCTCTGCCAATCTCAGCACCTGAGACAGTCTATAGTGGGGGTGGATTACACTGATGGGGGGGGGTGTATCTAAATGGCCTCTAAGTAGCACACCATAATGATGTCTTTAGTAGCTATTTATTTTAATTTTTATTCCATCCTCACTTTGTTCTAATAGAACACATGCTTTACTTTCTTATTTCATCCCTTAACAGAAAATAATGCTGATTGTCAGTGATATTATTTCAACCATTATTATTTCTACAATACACTGAAAATTGACGAGGTTTAATTACCGCCTAATAATAAGGCTAACATGTCATTTTTCAACTCTTTAATTCCCCTCCGCCAGCCAGAAAATAATGACCACTCAAATACTAAACTGTAAAATGAAGAGAGAAATCAAAGTATATTCGAAGGCACTTTTCTGAAACAGCCAGAGCTACCTTGCTAAACAGGACAAAGAAAAGCCACACTGCTGAATACCTGCAGGCTGATTAAGATGAAAAGGAGAAATGTCCACCTAAAAGCTCTCCCCATGGTGCTGCAGCCTTATGGCGCAGCTGTGAATCTGAAATCTCCATCACTATCGCTACAACCCTGTCTGTAGGAACATAGGAAGCTGCATTAAACTGAATCAGACCACTAGTCCATTGAGCTCAGCACTGCCTATACTGACTTGTAGCAGCTCTCCAGGGTTTAAGGTAAGGGTCCTTCCCAGCCCTACGTGGTGATGCCAAGGATTGAATTTGGTGATACCGTCTGCACGCAAATTGGTTGTTCCACCATTGAGCTATGGTCCTTCCCCAAACCAATTGGATTGTCCATTTGGTTCCTCCATGCAGAAGAAACAAATGGATAATCCAATCTACTGCAGAAAGGCAATGCTGGGCACAGGCCCAGAGTACAGCCATCTATCCATGCAGCTAAAAGCATCAATCTGTAAATTCAACCTGGCTTCTGTATAGCCCAGCTTTTAAACCAGGAACAGGTAGCCTTGGGTAAAATTTCATGTTGCACTTGGCCTAATTCATGTGGACAGCACAGGCAGAGGAAAAACAGGAGGGGCAGAAACAGTAAGAAAAGGGGTATCCCCATTTACCTTTGGCTCAACCCACCCCACAGTTCTGGCCCCAGACCTGTCTACCATGAGTAACATAAGAATTGCCTGCTGGAACAGGCCAATTGCATATCTAGTTCAGCATCCTGTTCTCAGAATGGCCAACCAGATGCCTGTGGGAAACCAGTGAGCAGGACCTGAGCACAAGAGCCCTCCCTTTGTTTCCATCAACTGGTATTTCGAAGCATTGCTGCCTCCAACTGTAGATGCAGAGCATAGTCATCATGGCTGGTGGTCATTGATAGTCCTATCCTCCTTGAATTTGTCTAATTCTCTTTTAAAGTCATCCACGTTGGTGGCAACAAAACATGCAAGATCTTATTTGATTGGTATCTCACCCCTGGTTTTTAGAAAACATTGATGACTTCAAAACAAGGATGCTCAACAGTCAAACTGCTCGTATTTTTCTTAACCTTAAAAAAATATCTGCAGATCTGGAAGGCTTTGAAAATCAGTAGAGGACCTGGGACCAACAAAAGCCTGTCACCCTAATAATGCCATTATTCTCACCAGGCATCTGGGAGACAGCTTGGAAGAATTATTTGTTTGTAGATCAAGGGGCCCCAAATGCCTCAAAAGCCTAGAAGCTGGCTGTTCATGTACACATAGTAGACCCCACAAAACAAATCCTCAGCTCTCTAGAAAGTCAACATGGGAAACCCTTAAACTGGTGCTAATGGTCGAGAGAATTATTTCCAAGTTATAAATTAGGATTTTAGAACATTGTTTGCCATTTGTATAATTCCTTTAAGAAAACAACTCATGGATCAGTGGCTCCCATCTCTGAGGCTGGAAAGACAGTTAACATTGACCAACACTGATAAACTGGAACTCAGCCAAGAAATACAATTTATTTCACACACAAATCTGCTAACCCAGTGTTGCAACTATTGGTGGGGTTCCTTTTAACTCAAGCCACTGAAAACCAAAATTTCACAAATTCACCGCACTGAGCAAGCTAGCATCAATCTACTAATAGGGGACAAAAAAACCCCACTGTATAGTTTTCTAGGGAGTAATCACAGTGGGTGACACCCTTTGGATAGAAATGGAAATATTAAAAATCAATGCATGAGCTTTCAGTGTATCATAAGATCTCTGAATGTTTAAATCAACACCACATTTTCAGATTCAGCAGTTGTTACACTATACCAGCACATTAGCCACAGAAACCTTCCATTAAAATATCTAGCTGTTGAGCTTTGTGCTGGTCACAGGATTTGGAAAGAAATTCCATTTTTCAAGTAACCACCTACATCTGAACTCGTGTTGATTCAAGCAAAGTGCCATTTTCACAGTCTTATGCTTGTTTTTTACGATCTCCTTTTTCACTTTTGTAAAAAAAATAAGACAGTAGTGGGAGAAAGAAAGCCATAGACCTAGACGGCTCTGTAGTACTATTTGTATTATAATAAAAATAATAAGCCACAGTTAAGTCCGCATTTTCCTCCAAGACTGCATTCCAATTATCACTTTCCATTTTGTCATATTTACTGGGTGCACCTTTTGAGCGTCTTCGCATTCCAAATGCAAATCACGAACATTAACGCCAATTCAATCTCTTTAAAACCTGCGTGTCCTGTAGAGCTGATAGTTAATAAATCAGGATGCCAGCTCACTGGTTTTATAAGGCTGAAACCTATAAAAAGAGTCCAAGTATATAAATTTAATTTAAAGAACTGCCATCCAAATCTGCCCCAGCCACTAATGGAAAACGTACGAGCAGCCGAACGTTGCCAAAGACCTGAAAAAAAGTTTGGGTGAAAATTCATCCAAGGGACCTATTTTTGTTATTCATTTCTAAAGCACTCAGAGTATTTTGCAATTCATATTTAAGCACCCCTCTGAGATAGCTCGTTGATATTTTTTCATTTTAAAGTTAGGCTGCAAGCCTGCTCAAAATCACCCACAACCACCACAGGGGGACCACTAGAAATGCTTGTGTGGTGGCAGACGCTCCAAACCGGGACTGTGAGATGTCAAAGACCCCTTCCCAATAGGCCTGGAGATCAAAAAGGTGTTAACAGGAAGACTTGCAACACAGTCAGGGCAGAGCCAGGCAACTGGTTTAGACTTAGTGCTAGGCTACCTAAAAGGGGCATTCCTCTCTAAACTAGGGGTAGCAATCATCGTGATCTCAAGACACTGGAGGACTACAATTCCCATCATCCCTGGCCACTGGCTCATTGACTGAGGCTGATGGGAGTTGTAGACCACAACATCTGAAGGGCCCCCACATTGGCCTTCCACTGCTCTATACAAACCAATCTGTCCACTGTGGTTAGGAAGAAATGCCTCTTTTGTACATCCTGCCACCAGCAGAAGCACAGTTCATGTGTGTAAGGAAAAAGGCCTTCTTGGCTGTGACACCCAGAATATGTAGCTCCCTTCCCCAGGAAATGTAACATGCTCCCTATTTATTAATGTTTGTCCATTCTCTGAAGATTTGATTTTGGCAGGTCTTTGGTTTACGTTATCAATTATTCTTTTGGTTTCACTGTGTATAGAAATTATGTCATTTTTTCAGATTTTCTGTTGCTTTTCTCTTTTAAAAAAGTAATTATATCTGTTTAAAATTATGATATTATATTAGGATGTGTGCTTTTATTTTGTTATGTTACCTGCCTTGAGGGTTTTGCTTATTCATTAGATTTACATGGCCTCTTCTCTGGTGGCCACTTACAATAGAGCCTGTAAGTGGAGTGAGGTATGATCAATTAAAATAATGAACGTAAGTTGGCTATGTCCATTACTTTAACTGGGTCAACTTTTGAGTATCACTAATGTTCGGATATAAACCTATTAGGAACATATGAAGCTGCCTTATACTGAATCAGACCAATGGGCCTGTCTACCTTAGTAAAGTTTACACTGACTGGCAGCAGGTCTCCGGGATTCCAGATGGGTCTCTCCCAGTCCTAACCTAGAGATGAATTGGGGATTCAACTCAGGACCTTCTTCGTGAAAGGAGAATGTTCTGCCACTGGGCTATGGCCTTTTCCCAAAATTATTAAAATAGAGCCCAGCATAAACTATGTATCCAAATAACAACTCCTCATGCCACCTCTGCAGTCCAATCTGCAGCAGGGACATCTCTCTCACACATGGGATGTGCATGCAGTGTTCCCCTGCAGGAATTATACCCATCTTGCATGAAATGGCTCTTAAGACTTCTGTGCATAAAATCCTTCTTTCCCCACTCTCTCCCTCAATAAAGGGAGGGGGGAAGGAACACAACTGCAATACGCAAACATGGGGGGGGGGAATTATTTGGTCCAGCACGTAGTTAATGGTGTTGGCTTCCTAAGACTTACAACTTAATAAAATTGATCTCACTGCAGCACTGTAATGAAGAACAGTAGGATATGGCTACCCTTGAACCACGGAAAATTGTATATTGTTACCTCCTCCTGACCACCTAGCGCTGCGACCATTCTAACTTCTCCAAGCTGTCATTTGTCCGATTTTGACGGCAGATGGAGAGGAGAGCAAACACAGCGAAGGAAAGAAGGGCAGGGGTGAACAAGCCTTTATCGGGTAGGTCTGCTTGGCAATATTAACACAAGCCAATGGCACAGGGAGCACCCAGTGCTATACATGTGGCATATACATATCAGTGAAGGATGGAAAATACAAACACAGTTACTATGCAGAGCCTTTTAGGTGGCCTTCTGCTATATATACATGCAGGAAAATGGTCCTATGGCAAACAAATCAGACCACAGGCCATAGCTCAGTGGTAGAGAAACTGCCTTGCATGCAGAAGGTTCCAGGTTCAATCCCTAATCTCCGGGTAGGGGTGGAAATATCTCCTGCCTTAAACCCTGGAGAGACATTGCCAGCCCGTGTAGGCAATACACATTGACTGGCAGAAGCTCTACAGCGTTTCAGACATGGGTCATTCTCAGCCCCACCTGGAGATGCTGTGGAACCTGGGACTGGGTGGCTTCAGTTTTCACTGTGTGAGAGGGGGAAGACAGAAAAACGTTTCCTCACCTTTCCAGTCTTGCAATCAAGCTATGGTGCTGTATGCTAATTGCAAATTCAATTCTCTGAGCACTGATCCTTACATAACTATAACAGCCCCTAACTCAAGAGTACCCTGGACATAATTCAGTTGGTTACAGCGTGGTGCTGATAACACTAAGGTTGCAGGTTCAATCCCCATATGGGACAGCTGCATATTCCTGAATTGCTGGGGGTTGGACTACATGGGTCCCTTCCAACTCTACAATTCTATTATTCTACCTGGAAGGTAGAAGAAATACGAAAGCTCCTCAGGATAAAAACCTAGTGTCCAATTTTGGGAAATGATATTTGAAGAATTAAGCCACGTTGCAAGATAAGATGCACACCATGACACTTTTTCAGGAAGAACAAGCAAATCTCCATGACAAATATCTAAATCGCCTTCCTTTTCATGGCAGCAGATCAGCTTATAGTGCCAAACTGGAAAAGTCTGGAAAATTTACATATTGCTGTGTAGAAACAAAAAAATGTGGACAACAGCACTGACCAAAAAATTGACCAATCAAGTAAGAGCTCCAGCCGGCAGATGCAATTTAGATTATTTTCTTGAAATATTTTACAGAATTTTCTATTACGAGTTCTGGTGTTTGGCATCTTCCAGAATCATAACTTCAGGTTCTGTTCTGTCAGGGTGGGGTGGAATGTTCAGTAGATTTTGTAACTAATTTGAAAATAAATAAAACCTATTAAAACAAAAACGAAAATGTCCCCAGAACAGTCCAATGAGGATTAAGTATGTTCAGTGGCCAAGGCACACTGTCTGGTTGTGGGAAGCGGGACAGGGGCAGAAAAATGAGCAGGGAATGGAATCTCCTGGAAAGGGGCAAGGGCAACTGGCAGGAACTCTGAGCAGCAGATCTCCACACTACATGATTTTGTTGCTGGTCCCACTTGTACTACTTAGTTAACAAGTAAGTAGAATCCGTCATTGAATGCTGCTAATTTTTTCACGCTGATCAAACTGCGCGTCATTTCATTTTCCATTATAGCCAGAATCTCCTACAGGAGTGCTCATATTAAGTTTCTTTATTTTCATCACCAGAAACATGTCATCTTTAATCAGCTTTTCTTTCCCCTTGCTTAAGAATTAGGAAGTAGTTTTTCTTTGTGCCTTTACTGCACCTTTTTTTTTTAGGTTCGTTATTAAAAACTTAAAATCATACAAACATGTATAACGTGCCAAGCACATTCCTCAATGACTCCTAAACCAACCTTTTCGTTAGCTTTTAACATTTTCTTAGGGTCATTTTCCACAGAAAGGCAAATACACACAAAAGGAGCCCGCTTGCAATTACTCTTCATGCTCTCCCTAAACACTTATGCTACTAAAGTGTGAAATGTCTTCTAAACACAAAGACAGATCTCTGGGAAGTAATTACAAAAAAATGCATTCAGGGGCAATAATTCTATATTAACTGTCAGCAGCATACATCTTCTGAAAAGGCACTTGTTACAAAAGAATTATGTGTGGCAGAGGAAGGCACCAAAGGCAACAGAAAATTGCAAGGATGCATTAAACCTTAGACTCCAGCTCCCTCATCAAGGGTCAGTTTATGCTTAAATCATTACCTTGACGTCAAACCTGAATCTGCCTAAAAGTCATTTAAGAGATGTTAACGTGCAAACTCAGTGAACTTGCATGGAGTAAACCAATATCTCTTAAAAAACGAAAAAGAAAAAGAACACCTTCCACAAGTAGTTTATTAAAATCTGCATCTTTGTTGGTTTCAGTTACTGTTGGCTTCCAAAAAATTGGATCCTGTGGTTAAACGACCTAAAATTATCATTTGGGGCAAGGGGAGTTCATGCCGTGATTGGACATGCTACGTGACACGCACAACTTTGAAACCATTTGACTCTACATCAGACATGGGGAACCTGTGGCCCTCCAGCTGTTGTCAATCTCCAGTCCCAGCCAACATGGTTAATAGTCAAGGGAGATGTGAGGTGTAGTCCAACAACATCTGGAGGCCACCAGCTTGGCTACTCCCACCCCAAAACTTAAAGTCCAAAAATGGGCATGGACAGTTGTATTGTTCCCTCTTTGTCATCTAGCCTAGGTATGGTGAGCTTTTGGCCCTCCGGATGTTACTGAACTACAACTCCCATCATTCCTGACCATCGGTCACTTTTACTGGGGTTGATGGGAGTTTAAGCAACTTCTGGAGGGCCAAGGGTTCTACACACATCTAGCCCTCCTCTGCTGAGAGGGGGTGGGGTGGAGTTCATATCTGTGGTGCTCAGTTCTGCTCAGGGGCCTGGCAGAGGAGATGATTGGTGTCGCAATTTCTCCTTCTGCTGTCGCTTCATTTAACCCAACATTTATACTCATGTCACTCTGCTTGGGCGCTTAGGTTTGTGGTCAGAAAGAAAACAAGAGGAACTACACCAGAATGATCCTTGGATGAGTTAAATGACGACTGTTTGATCCTGGCTTATTTTAGCTAAATGCTCTTAAAACAAACCACAGCTCCACGTATCCATAAACCATCCCAAACTATGGTTTGCTGTAAAATGAAAGCAGAAATTTCCCCCTCTTACATATGACAGAGGAGAGGAGGGAAAGACAGCGAACAAATCTGAAGGCTGCCATGGCAATCATTCTGACCAGATGTGGGAAGCAGTGGGCACTTCAAATGTTATTGGACTCAAACACCAATCAGCCCCAAACAGCATGTCCAGTAGTCATGGATGGTGTGTGTTGGAGTTCAGCATCTACAGGGCCACAAGTTCCCTGTTCCTGGAGGATTAGATGATTGTTTGAACTGAGTAGGATTACTATGTCCAAGAGTCGCAGCCTTTTCTTTAATGGTAACGGAACGGAGCGAGGCTAAACACCAAAAAGGGAAGCAGCTTAAGTAATTAAATAAAGTCTCGCCAGAGTTTTCATTAGTAACATTTTTATTTGCCTGGGTGCTCCCTGCTTCTCATATTTCTTCCAAGGATCCTTAATTGGGCTCCAGTATCTGATGGAAAGTTCCTCGAGTCCTCTCATCCTCAAAGGGCACCCAGGAAAGGTGGGGGACCAGGACTGCTCATAATACCATTTTCCAGACAGAGCTAATAATGACTGTCTCCCACTAATGAAAAGGGGGGGGGTTGCTGCTGTAATTAAGCTCGAGAAGAGTTCAATTGGTGGGGGAAGAGAATTAAATTTATTTACATGCTGTTCTGCTGCTGATGAAGCACTAGCTATTTGGGAGGCCTCCTAATTAACCCTAATTTAGCTCCTGTACACTCTTTTTGTATTCTCATTCCCCACATACTTCCAGCAAGGTAAACGGATATAATAATAATAATAATAATAATAATAATAATAATAGATAAGCCAATTTTAAAATAAAAAGTGGGCTTCTTTCAATGGACTTTTAAGGTCCAGAGTTAGGCCTTAAATTGTTAAATTTGCATTCTAGCATTTTTTCAATGCTGACAATTAAGAAAAACCACACTTGAGAGTTTGACTCACCGCAGAAGCACAATATATAGCAATGCCTTGGGAGAGAGGAGATTACACACAGAAAATTCTTTTCTTTAACCTTCTTGCAGACATTTTCCTGCCAATGTTCTCTCCCCCCCACACACACACTCTCTTTTTTTTTTCAGGGACGCAATGCCAGGAAGAACTGCTTCCCTATGGACCATATCTTCAGAGAACTGCACTAGGAGGGCAGCGGAGACCAAGAGATCCCATGTCGAACACAACAAGGCTAATTCAAAAAAGGGGGGGAGGAACACTACATTTCTTACATCTCACAATGTTCTGCTGTTTTGTCCCTCTGTAACCTTGGTCTGTTTGGCAGGAATTATCACACTGAAAGTTACACTGCTTTTCCTTCTGCGTCTTAAGGAGGGAGAAATTTTCTCAACATTTAGTCTTATTATTTAAAAAAAACTTTATTTTTTTATTAAAAACAGTTCTCAGTGGATTACAGGTTGGGGATTATTATTATTATTAAACTAGAATGTATCTGTTCTAAAGCAGTCTTCACCAATCAAGTGCCCTCCAGCAGATGTTTCGGACCACAACTACCATCAGCCTACAGTGGTGTTCATCAACCTTGGGTCCCCAGATGTTGCTGGACTACAACTCCCATCATCCTTGATAACTGTCTAAGGTGGCTGAAGGTGATGGGAGATGTAGTCCAACAACATCTGGGGATTGGACTCAAGGTTGAAGAACACTGAGCTGGAGGCTCTAAGGTGGCTCTAAAGAGATTCTTCTTCCCAAGGCACTGTGCCTGCTGCTTATAGGCAGATTCAGTGTTAGAAATTCACCAGGGAGCAGGCGTATTTTGCACTTGGCTATCAGCCATGCAAGTAAAGATGCCCAGGCACCAGCATGGCGCCTGATGTCTCCACCACCTACAGGTGCATGCCTGGGAATCCTTGGATCTTGACTGTTTTCACATACTAGCAACACATCTCATAGAATTGTATCCATGATATTTTATCTGCACAATCAGAATGAATTTCAGCAACCAAAAAGTCATATTGAAAAATATGACTTTTGAGTTGTCTGGCCCAAAAATGGCAACTAGGCATTCCATTTTGGCGACTGTAACACTGGTTTAAGAGCCTAGCTTATATAGCCGAGTTTCTAATACTGGGCAAATTCCATTCATCCACAAAAGAGCATTCATCCTAGGCAACATCTCATTTATATATTTCTTTCCTCATTTCTACAAGAGCTGATACTTTTATTAACTGTTCTGAAAATTGCTCCTCTTCTCCATCACTCATTTTTCGTAACCATTCCCTAAAATGCTT